CTTCCACAAACGTAATGATTTGGCTGGATAATTCCATAATGCACATATGAGTACTAACTAAAACCTTAACATAAGGGCTCCACTACATTTCTCAGAGTAATTAAAATTGTAATAATTCATCCAAACACCATCTTATCCACCTACATCAAATCAGTAATAAGTCTGAAACTATTACAACTATATATCGTGTTTCTCTGTGGCAGATAATCCTTGTATTTTGGGTATTTGGGACATACTCTTGTCTTAGCTCAGTTATAATAATATTGAGATGAAATAAGAGATTGGTGAGAGAGGGTAATATATTAATCTTGTAATAATGATAAAACTCTGATACCCTACTGAGTTGATGAGAATTAATTACATCAATTCTCTAACGAACCACATTCATTATCTATCTATCTTCTCTTATTTTCCATAAAAAATTTGTTTTTTTAGAGCTAAGCTTGTACAATTTTGTATTCGCCTCTAATTTTAATTTTTTCACATACCTTACAACTTTCTATCTACAGGTAGAGCCAAAACCAATATATTTTCAACAATCTGTTCAATATTTTAATATTAATTTAATATTCACATTCAACAGCTTACTGTACCAGCTTAAATACTTTTCAATACTCTTTTTTAATTTTTCACCTAACAATTCTCATTTGAAACTAACAAATAAGTGGTCAGTTTATTTTGTTCTCTTTAAATATTAATTGGAATTTGTATTCAACTATAACATTACAAAGTTAACTTACACCTGTGTTCTTAACAAAATTTTCATCTAAAATGGTTCACGCTATTTTTGAAATTCTGTATTCACTAATCAGATTTTCAGCTTGATAGATAAACCTCGATATAAATTAAAAATAAAACAAGCGAGATAAAATGATGATCCAAATATTATAAAGAAATGCAAGTGATAGGCACTAAGATTCACCCAAATTCTTTCAAAAAATTTTCACGTCATTGGACATAAAACGGTCTTTTGTTTTGTTAATTAATTATAGTCTTATCTTCTATATCGGCACACATTTGATCATTTCCAGTATCAATTTTCACATTACAAAATCTTCGTTTAATATTAGACATAAGTTATTTCTGCCTAATAGTGTCTGTGTATGTATGTAACATCTTCAGACAAAACACTAGTAATTTTGATATTGTGTACCTAATCAGAGACTGTTATTCATTAATGGACCTGATAGATGTTTGATGTCACATACTCATCAAGTTTAGTTTATCTACATGGAATACATGACACTAGACTGAAACATCTGTCTCTATTCCAGACTCTGATAGCTATTTCGACAGATGTCAGCTGGTGTAGAGACAGAAAAAATAGGCCCCTGTTTAATGGGTACATTTGCGCATCTCCGCAGGTGCAGGGTTTTTAAACCTATTTAGATACCGGTACCTCAGATCTCCAAAACCAAGGTATATTTGGAAAGATGAATATTTTTGTATCATCTTCTCCCTACACCATTTATGTTGTATCTCGGTTCCATTAAAAAAAAAATTGGCGAAACTGATATAGCATCGGCCACAAGTTCAAAGGTCACAGAGTCTCGTGATACTAATGAAAAGAAAGTAACGGTGATGTCCAACACTAATTTACAATCATATTAAAGGTAATTCAATATTATGTTACAGAAAAACGTATTTTTGGAGGTGTGGAAAATCTCCATTTAACAGGGTCTTTTTCTTCTGATTCTACTCCAGCTGACAACTGTCAAAATATCCATCAGAGGCTGGAATAGAGGCAGATGTTTCGGACTAACATGACACTTGCCATTCTGACTGAATTCTGTTGTGTGATCATTTACAATAAACTTAATAATACAGGATTTACTAACAACAACAAAATATAGATGTGCCACTGTAGTATAAGAACTATGTTTCTGTAATTTTTGGTTAATCTACGTCTTTTTTGAGAAAGCAGAAATTTGATGACAAACTCCAAATTGTTGCCCTATAAACATACCGTCTCTAATACATGATAAGCCCATAAATATCAGTGCTACTACAAACTGCACCACAACAGTAGGCTATATAATTTTACAATATACCGTCAATGGTTCATATAACTCAATTGCATTCCTTTCAATCTCTTATCAGTCCAGATCAATCTGCACCTTAAATTAGTTTGTTAGTACTTCTGAGGGTCATTTGGTACAAGACCACACAAACTTATAGTCTTAAAAAATATATGCTAAAGTTTAGAACATATCATAAACTTCTAGGTCTGTAATCTGTAGTAGGCCTATGACAATAACACTATTGTATTTGTAGATTGTAGACTACACTTTAGTTAAACTTAGTGCCATTCAGAAGCGGCAAAATGAGAACAATGTACAAAATATTTAGTAAGAGAAAGTGCAAGCTGACATATGCACATGTTTTCAATTTAGAGTTGTCAATGCAGTTAATCAATATAATAAGCCAAAAAGGCACCTGCCCCAGGCCAAGTTGAATGACAACAATTGATCGTGTTGTTGTTACCATTTATATTCAATTCACAAATTATTCATCATACCATTCCCATCCCTCAACTTTCAACTCAAAAATTTAAACAAAGAGGTGCACTTCATTTGTCAACAGGCCAATTTACATGTTTTAGCAATACAGCTAAAGAAGAAAACAGACGAGAAAAGCTGTCTACATGTGGTACGAGAGTTAAAAGGAACATTGATCAGACTGGCATCATAACAAGAGAAAAGTGGAGAGAAAAGAAACTCGTTGTACATTACCTGCTATAATTGTGTCGGCTAAATCATATTTTACACAGATTTTCGGATACTCCTTTAATTTCCGACCACTAAGATTTATTTGTCCGGATGTTTGTGCTTCTTCGAAAACTCTTTCAATAGGCCTGCCGATTACAGGGGGGCTGCTACTGCCCGACCCGTAAGTGGCAGCCATTTTTGTTCCGATTCCTTGTCCGTCTCTAATTATAACTGAAGTGCGCATGCCTAGCAGGAAGTGACCTCAATATGGAGGTCTATCAAACTATCCTGTTTCACTATGATTCATTCATTGAATAAAAAATAAATTCTTTCTCCACAGACGTCACATTTTCTTCAAGAATATTTTCAAAGTCTGCATAAATGTTAAAAAAATTACACATCTGTTTCTGCCTCGGGTTGGGAAATATACACGCATTTTCATTTTGCAAACTGCATTTGTGAGGACTTGGGTTGGGTTGGGCTAGGAAAGTACGGGTAGTGAAAACTGATTGTGTCTGAGCACAAAATGTGATTTTTAGAAATTTTCTTTGATTTCATGTGTTTAAAAAAAACACATAATAGATAAACAACCAAAGTTGTTGAAAGATTTCAACACTATCGTGATCCTTTTACTGGTCGTTCAATTTTACGATCAAAGGGAAACAACTCCAGTTAGTAAAGCAGTAATTATTCAGACTACAGACAACAACTAATTTGTTCTGTCAAAATTCTGGATAATCAGAAATTCCTTGACCTTGACCTTTTACCTTTATTTACTGATAGCAATGGCTTTTATCCGATGTTTTAAAAGAAATGTTTTTAACGATATTTTTAAATTGCAAGTGACAAATTTTACTACTTTTACTGCTAAGACTAAGACCGAACTACAGGATGAATATACGAGGAAAAAGACAGCTATCGAAGGTGAGAATTTTCAGTTAGATCTATTTGTTTTTTTCACTAGCCTACCCTGAACCTTTTCTGACATTCTGCTAATTTTATTTTTGACTTATTACAACCAGTTGCTACACACAATTTAAATTCTTGGCATTATTGTGTCTGTACTAGCTTTGAGCTCTATCTATAACATTGGTTAATATTCTCTTCGTAATCTTAGGTTTTCATGTTGTCTTGACAGTTGTAGGTTAAATGATAGGCCTACTATCCAAAACACTTTCCTAGTAGTGTAACTTCTGTAGCCTGAGGCTTAGGGCGCCCAGGACAGTGACAGTGGCAGAGGGGCATGTTCTCAGGCAAAAATCTCATAACCAGGCAAACCTCAGGTATTTCGCCCCCCCATCTCTGACCCAGGATAACCTTGAAGTCTATCGCTTTTACAAATCGAGATAGGTGGTGTATCTCTTTTTGTTTTATGTGCGGAGTCAATAATGTTTAAACAATGTAATGTAACAAGTCTTTTAAAATATACATCTCTCTATGTATTGTTTGAATTCTCCCCTCTTTCCCCTACTGTTATTTTAAAATATACATCTCTCTATGTATTGTTTGAATTCTCCCCTCTTTCCCCTACTGTTATTTTAAAGTATACCAGTATATCTCCCTATGTCAAATTGAAAATAATTGTTCAATAAACATGTCATAAAAAGCGATATTACAATCCGCTAACACAGAATACAATTAAAAGTTGTATGTCTCTATTTCACAATCAATAATATGTTATGTCTACAAATTGAAAACTTGTAATAAAGGTGTAAGGTGATGATATTTGACTTAAAGATTGGTAATAAAGGCCTATTGGATATTTATTATGTTTTATGTTAAACACTAACCCTACTGGTTACTGGTCATGTTGTACTGATTTAACCTTCTACAATCCAGTCTTTATTAATGCTTTGTCCTAACCTGGTATAATCCTATATAACATAGCAGATTAACCTTAATTTTTAATGGTTGATATAACCTTCTAATCTTCTATATAACATAGCAGATTAACTTTTATGAATTCAAGACAAATTGGACAATTGGAACCACAAGACAACTCTGACCAATAAATTTTTTTAAAGACAAGTCAAACCACTTTTTTTGAAACTCAACCCAATGACAATGCTGTTGAAAATCAATAAAAATCTATTGGTCTTATGATGATAGCTATTACTGGATGCAACATGCAATGTAGATTTCAGAAGAGGTATATAGAAGGCCTGATTTTAGACAAAAACAATTTAAATTCAATCTTGTCTTTTTAAATCTTATTTGTTTTAAATTATAAAGACAATTCGGTGTTTATATATTTTAGATGGTGTACATGAGTCTGCTATTGAAGGTCAAGGTATATTCGCTAACAATGAGTTAAATCTAGGTGATATTGATGTATATGGTTTTGATTATGATTATACTCTAGCAGCCTACAGACCTGAATTACATCATACTATTTATCATCTAGGACAGGAAACACTTATCTCAGATTTTAAGGTACCAATGATTAGTTAACATTTATTTTGTTCTGGAAATTTAATTTGAAGGAATGTAGAGAGAAAGGTTTAAAAGAAGTCACTTTTTTTATTTTGCATTTAAAATATAATAGAAATAGTTCTGAACCAGTTTGGCTGACATTATAGTTTTTATCTCATTTCAGTATCCAGCAGAAATATTAAAATACCCGTACGATCCATCGTGGCCAATCAGAGGCCTTCATTACGATGTCAGAAAGGTATGTTAATTTCAATCTTAAACTGACTGAGGTCTACTTATAGCAGCTTATGTGATATTGATGAAAGTTCAAGGGGAATTGCAAACGTCAATTAAACTTGAAGTGGTATAAATTGATGCTATAAGTGTCCTGCATTCACATAAAAGATATAGAAAACTTCTTTACCTTCTTCCCTTTAAATTGATTGAAGAAACTATTTAGTGAGTAAGAAACTTTATTGACGTGTTGCTAAATGTTAAATTGATTTCTCTTGTTTTTAGGGATTACTGTTAAAATTAGACGCTTTTCATAATATTCAACTTGATACAGTTTTCAGGTTTGTGAAGAGTTTTTTTATTATTTCTAGTATTTTTCATGTAAAAGGGATAATCATGTAAATATTGGCTTAATCAGCTGAGCTCAGTATCAGCCATCCGTATCACTTTGTAGAATTGAAAACTGATCTTTAGTTTTCTTACAATTCATAAAAATATAAACTGTAGATGGGTATTATGGGCACAGAAAGTATTGTATTCCTCTTATTACACATAAAATGTGTCAATTCCATGTTAGCAGGACAGACGGTAGGTAGGTAGGTAGGTAGGTAGTTGTTGGTAGATGACAAGTTACAGTTCGCTTCCAGTGGATGCTGAAATCGCAAACTAGGTAGTTGTTGGTAGTTGGATTGGTTCAAATTGGATGATTCTGTGTTGTTGGTTTGGTAGTTGATTCTTCGTTAGATCTGGTCGGGTCTGGCAGGGCTAGGTTAGGGGCAGCCCCTTTTAAATGTCTAATTACCCAGTTATTATTATTATTATTATTAGAGGTCAGAGAAGAGTGACTGAGAGAGAAGTTAAATCCCTATATAATGGAACCCACGTTACTCTAGATCAGATGAATACTTTCTATGGTCAGGGTCCTATGCATCAACTAATAGATCTTTTCGCTATTCCTGAAGTTTCTCTAATCACCAACACTACAGAGGTGAGACAACTCTTTAATTTATTTCAATTTCTCTTATTTGAAATAATTCAAGGACATTTTTATTAGACCGATTTGGGGTTTTTTCATTAGGGAGAACTTAATATTTGTTTGTTTCTTGTAATTCATTTGGTAACAGTCAGATTTTCAAAAGAAATTTTCATGAAAATGTCAAGATAAACTCTCCTTTTAGACTATGATATAGATAGGCATCTACTTAAACAGTCAAACGCCTGGAAAATATTGTTATTCATTTCCCTTAACATATTTGATTAAAGTCACATTTTCAAAATCTTTTCACCATAAAATTCAGTTTTGTCTCTTTTTTAAGGCTAATATATAGATATTTCAAAATATACTAACTAGATTGGCCCCATGTTCCCAGTTTAACAGTCAAACTTCTTATGAAATATTTTAT